AAATGGTTATTTTAAGCCACTTCGTTTAGGGTGGTCAATCCCTCAGCAATAGGTCACTGAAACAAACAGCAGCTCTAATGTTTATTATTCCGGCTGCTCAGGTTGAAATCTTCGAGTCATTCTTTATTCCTCTTTTGCTCATACCTTACAACCAAACCACATGCAAAAAGGATACCTGTAGCCTGCTGGCACGTATTCTAAGTACACCCAGAAACTGTCACTGCCCTTGTCATTGTCTGTCACCTCCTCCATTCCCACGCTGACCCTGCTGCCTGCACCCCACTTGCCCTGTCCCAGTTTACTTTCTACAAAAGAGTCAAAACAATCTTTTTAAAATACAAGGAAAGCCCTGCATTCCTTTGTTCAAAACTCTCTGACAGCCACCCACATCATCCATAGTAACACCCCAAGTCCTCACAATGTCCGGCGAGGCCCTCCGATCCAGCCCCTGCTGTCTTGCCAATTTAATTCCCTGCCAACCCACACGGGTCAACTCTGATCCAGACACAATGGCCTCCCTGCTCGTCCTCAAAATGCCAGGCAAGGGCCACCTTGGGCCTTGTCCACTCACTGACCCCGCTGGCCTGAACAGCCTTCCACTACATGGCCACCTGGCTGGCTTCCTCATCTTCACCTGCCTGTACTCCAGTGACACCTGGAGAATCCTGTGCTGAGCGGATCATCTAAGAGGCTCACCGGCCCCATCAGCTTTCCATCCCCACCCGCTATGCTCTGTGTCTCTCCACTGTGTTTGCATCTCCATATTCTTTTCTTTTCTCTCTCTAGTTTATTGTCTGTCTCTTTCCACCATGACACAAGCTCCGCGAGGCGTGGATTCTGTTTTGTTCACTGCTGCACTCCCAGCGCCTAGAACAGTACCTGGCAGGTGTAGTACTCAATAAGTACTTGTTAGATGAGAGAGCACATGCGTTACTGACAGCTGCCTTTCATAGCCCTGAAAACATGGTAAAAATCGTCATTAAACCCCCAAGCTCAACCTTGCATCCTGTGGGTGCCCCCTCCCTGGAGCCCACAAATTAGCAGGGCAGCAGCTCTGAAAAACACATGTTTCCCACCTGCTCCAAGGCCTCCAAAGGTTTCCCATCACCCTCAGGATCAAGTTCACCCTCCTTCAACGGCCCACAAGGCTCTGCAGATCTGACCCTAGCCCCCACTCCAGGTTCCCCCATACCCCGCCAGCACACACTCCCCCCAGCCTCACCGCCTTCGCTCTCTGGCTTCGCCCAATGCCGTTCCCTCCACCAGCAAACCAGGAATGCCCTTCCTCTAGTTCCTTCCACTACTGCCCACTCACCCTTCAGGCTCAACCTACATGTCCCTTTGTCAAAGAGCCCTTCTGTGCCCTCCATCTTCTGTGGCTCCTCCTTTCTCCCTCGTTTTCCTTCCTGGGCTACCCATGATTTGTGCAATTGTAGCAGGTTATCCAGTGGAGGAATTCGCCAGCAACTTGGGCTTCTGGAACCACAACTGAGCAAGGAGGACAGACCAAGGTTCTTCTGGAGGCAGGACCAGATACCTACTTTGAGGGGCCCAGTGAAAAACAAAAATTCAAGTCCTCTTGTTCAAAATGATTAAGAATTTCAAGACAGCAACAGCAGAGCAGTAAACCAAGCCTGGGATGCTTCTGAGCGTGGGATGTTATTCAACCCCACTGGTCACTTGCCCAGGAAACTGATGACCACGGTTAATGAACTAAAGCAAAATACAGCACTCAAGGCCCAGTGAGGCTGGTGACCTGGGAATGCAGCTGTGCTGGACATCTCCACAAAGATGGGGCTGCGCACTTATTTTACGGAGAGATCAAAGCTTCATCCTCAAGTCGAGGAAGGTAACCTCTCCAGGGTGCCTGCTCATCGAACCAAGTGCCATTCAGGCCAAGCTCGTCCACTGCCAGCTCAGCACAAGCTTAACTGAATGACACAGACAAGAGCCAAGAAGAGACAATAAGGAAAGAGATAATCTACAAATAACAAATGCTGGAGAGGGTGTGGAGAAAAGGGAACCCTTCTACACTGCTGGTGGGAATGTAAATTGATATAGCCACTATGGAGAACAGTATGGAGGTTCCGCAAAAAACTAAAAACAGAACTACCGTGTGACCCAGCAATCCCACTTCTGGTCATATAACTGGAAAAAAACCATAATTCAAAAGGATACATGCACCCCTATATTCACAGAAGCACTATATACAATAGCCAAGACAGGGAAACAACCTAAATGTACATCGACAGATGAGAGGATAAAGAAGATGTGGTACATGTAGACAATAGAATATTACTCAGCCATTAAAAAGAATGAAATAGTGCCATTTGCAGCAACATGGATGGACTTAGAGATGATCATACTAAGTGAAGTAAGTCAGACAGAGAAAGACAAATATCATATGATATCACTTATATGGTGAATCTAAAATATGACACAAATGAACATATCTATGAAACAAAGCAGACTCAGAGACATAGAGAACAGACTTGTGGTTGCCAAAGGGAAGGGGGTGGGTGAGGGATGGAGGGGGAGTTTGGGATTAGCAGATGGAAACTATTACATATAGGATGGATAAACAACAAGGTCCTACTGTATAGCACAGGGAACTATATCCAATATCCTATGATAAACCGTAATGGAAAAGAATATGAAAAAGAATATATATGTATGTATAATTGAATCACTTTGCTGTACAGCAGAAAGTAACACAGCATTGTAAGTCAACTACAATAAAAATTTTTTTAAAGAAGGCAAGATACAATTTCATCAACATTTTTACAGGGCAGGGCAACGAAAGCCCAAAAGCCTCATGGGACAATAAAAGGTTTCCCTCTTCCTTTCACAAGTATTTCAGCTTTTGTCACATGTTCCCTTGGTTTCTGAATAACAGCTTCTTCCCAGTAAATGAGTTAATAAACAATAGATTAGAAAAGTTTTTAGAAATAATCACCTGACCCACTAAATTGGTTTTACAACCCACAAAACGGGCTGTGAACCAGAGTTCGGAAACATGGTTTGGGGTCAAATTAGTCATGTCACGGCCCAGATTCCAGCCCCCAGGTCTTCACTCAAAGCTCCATCTGAGTGGCCTACACCATCCACAGCAATCAGAGAGGGGGCTTTTTAAAAGGCAAGCACTTAAACTATTCTTACAGCAAAAAGGATGCAAATTACACGGCCAGGAGACAGAAATTAAGGGAAGGCAGCAGGATGTCAGCTTGGTGTGTGGAGCACCCGAGCAGAGGGCAGGGAAAGGGGAGACAAGGGAACCTTCCAGGTCACACTGCTCAGCATGCTCCCCCAATCCCATGGAAAGTAGTGCAGGTTCCCAGGATGTCAGACTCCCTCATGACCAAACCCATGAGAACATCCCCAAGAAAAGGCTTTTCTGTCCCCTCTGAGGCTCCCTGTTGTCACTTTCCTCTTCAAAGAGCCTGTCTCACCTGCCCCCTCCCTCTCGCTGGTCTGGCCTCCAGGCCAAGCTGAGCTTGTGGAATCCAGCTCCTTCAGTGCAGCCAAACAAGCCCACGACCCTCAAGGCAGTTTCCCCAGGCTGTGCCTTCAGAGGCTCCAACCATTTCATGTAGGCCTTCCGGATCCAGAACTTTCATTCCCAGCACACCCTTCCCATGGTCATGTCCCTCCCTCCTAATCACGATGCACCTACCGAAACTGAGCAGGACCCTGTAGGGCTCCAGGGCATGGAAGCCTTTCAAACAGCTGCTAACCAGGGAAGGGAGGGGATGCAGAGACAAGGGAGGAGCAGTCAGGAAACAATAGAGCAGCCTTGGGGCAGGGTCCTGGTTCAGCCTCAAGGGATAAACATTAACAATGTCTTTGAGCCCTTCTGCAGAAAGAAAACCCTCAACAAATGGAAAATCTTAGCATTCTTCATTCCAGAGAAGACCACCTGAGGCCAGACTGGAGGAGTGCAGGCCCTGCACACACCCTGATCCTTATCAGCAACCCAACCCTTGAGCTCCTTACCTCCCAGCTTGGGACACACAGTTTTGTGGGGCAGGAGCCCGCTGTGGCCCGCTTTGTCTGGCAGAGCAATAAAGCTATTCTTTTCTACTTCACCCAAAACTCTGTCTCCAAGATTCGATTCGGCACCAGTGCAAAGAAGCCGAGCTTTCGGCATCAGCATCAGGACGGGCAAGGGAACCCGGGTGGGCTGGACAGCCGAGTCCAGGCATCTCCCACTACCCACAATGCTCCCGATGCCCACACACCTCTCAGCTGCACACAGAGCTGCCTTCCCTCTCTCCTCCGGAACGAAGCCACTGCCCGGAGGCGGGGAAGCCTCCACGGGGGCCATCGCCCGGCCACCAGTGTGGAGGATGCTGGGTCCTCTCGACGAGGTTTCCCGGGATGGGCGCAGCACCAACAAGAGTTATTGTGTGTCTACCAACCAGCAGGCACACAGCTCTCCACGTCGGCAGCGAGGTCTGGATCATCAATTTAAGGCCAACAACTGCTCTGTGACCTTGAACAAGCCCGTTCCCTTACCCAGGCCCAGACAGATGCAGGCAGGAGGCCCAGGTGACCCAGAGGGTCAGAGGGGGTGGGGTGGGGCGGGGGTGGTGGTGGTGGTGCAGGTGGAGGCAGCCTCACTCTTGCCCACACCATTTCCTTCCTCCTGTTTTCTCTCTGTGGCCAATGTGCCACGTCCATCTCTCTAGGTCACCTTTAATCCTCTCTAGGACACAGCAGGAGACAAAGAAATCCCGTCTTGAATTGTCCTTATCATCTTGTGTGCTTTCCCTGCCCTTGAAGCATCGCAGCTCCTCCAGAGAAGCAAATGCAAGGCTCATGCTCTGGGGATGATCGTTCAAGTAAAATATCCTTTCCAATAATCCCCGGAACATCCGTACTTGACCGCAGCTCTGACCTTTCCCCACTCCGCATCCCCAATCTCCCGAGCGGGAAAGCCCGTGAGGGACAGAAGGCACCCAGAGGACTGGCCACAAGCCCCAGGGGACACGCCCACGTACCTTGGTCAGATCCATTCCAAGTTTGAGCTGAGAAATGAGGTGAAGGATTACACTGCGCTGATCCTCCATGACGCCCACTTCTGTCTCTTCCTGATCTTCAGTATCACTTTTTTCATCTTCTGACAAAACCAATTCGGGGCCTGAGTTTGGCTAAAACGAGATCATCAGTAAAAATCACCAGCCTGGTCCTGAGAAGCGAGAAGCACAGCACCGAACCCATGTGCTTAGAGCAAGGGCAGAGAGCCCAAGCCTGCCCAGATAGAGTTTCTCCATAAACTGGTCCTCCCGGCCGTGGGCAGAAGACGATCTTTTTTTTTTTTTTTTGCGGTACGCCGGCCTCTCACTGTTGTGGCCTCTCCCGTTGCGGAGCACAGGCTCCGGACGCGCAGGCCCAGCGGCCATGGCTCATGGGCCCAGCCGCTCCGCGGCATGTGGGATCTTCCCGCACCGGGGCACGAACCCGCGTCCCCTACATCGGCAGGCAGACTCCCAACCACTGCGCCACCAGGGAAGCCCAGAAGACGATCTTTGGGGTGCAGGCCCCACCTTTAAGCACCTGAGGAGCCCCCTCACTCAGAAGGTGAGTGAGCCTTCTAGCCTAAGCACCTCCCCCGACAAGAAAGCTTCCTGCCCTCTAAGAAACTAACTATAATATTCAAGTGTGAGTCCCTTCACCTTGGCTATTCCCAAATAACATTCTCCTGTTAACTTGTACAACCCAGGGCACTATAGCTAATGTAAATTTCTCCGTTTATAAGCAAAAGTCAGACACCCCTGAAACTGACATTACCTTATTTATGGGAAAATTTACTCTGAAATTATTTCTATTCCCGTTAGTGAATATCACTACAGCAAGTAAAAAAAAAAAAAAAAAAAAAAGGCTCAGTGCTGGCATTCATTTATGGAGGGAAACAAAAATGAAAATGTAAAGAAAAAGTCTGAAATTTTATAATAATGCTAAGCTTCAACCTGTCTAACAGACCCTGCACTTTCCTTGGTGCAAGTTTTATTCATTCAATTGCTTGATTCCAGTTTTCCAAATTACAGAGAAAGCAGGCAAGTTAATAAAATATGCAAGGTGGATTGCTGAGCACATAATTCTCTAATACCTAACTACCAAGAACTCTGGCTACAATTACAGCTGTCCTCACAATTCTGTTGAAAGAAATAATCCTGTTCACCATTCTTCGTTTATGTATGTTCTCATAGGACTTGTTTCTATGTCAGCAAAAGCACTCTATACAAAACACTACGTAATTGTTTCTAATTACTGTTGACTGGTCAGACATAATGAACTTAACATATAGAAACACGGGAGCCGAAACATGTTAATACAAAAGGATACAGACTTGCCCAAAGATCCAAGCAAAAACCAATGATTTTCAATCTCATTAGACAGAACCATCTCATCTACTTCCAAAACACAAAAGGTATTTAGCGATCAGGGTGTTTAAAATCGTCCTTCCTCCCCAACACTCCAGAGGAAATATGGCGCTCTTTCCACTGGGGCAGCACTTTTAAAATTTCAGTTGAAATGGACATTTACCACAGACACACTGCTCAAAATTATTCCCAAGGCCATGGGGCTTTCCGCCAGCCACAAGTCAAGTTTCCATCATGTGCCTGGTTCCCTAGACTCCTGTCATGTGTGCTATGTGACATCATTGGAAAGGTGCTTTGCTAGATATACTGAAATAACTGAGGGCCCCTGACCCCCACCGTGGTCCAGAGAAGACTAACCAGAGGGGGAGTCTGGGGCCATGGGCCACCCTGACTCCACACTGGGAAATCAGAGACAGAGGGACAGGAGCCAGCACTTGCTGTCAATGCCTGGAAGCCCCCTACCTCTCCTCCGGCTTCAGCTCCTGTGCTGCAGTACTGGCCCATGGCAGCCAAGGTCACTGTGGTTACGAGTCTGACGGGCTAAAGCAGGGCCGCCGTCCCATATACCTGCCCTCCTGACCTTCCCTGCTCCTTCCCCCTCCTCTGGGTTTCAGGCAAGTTTTAAAGGGTTGCTGTCTCCATTCACTGTGAGTTTGCATGTCCCGTCAGTTGCCACCAAAGCCAGAGAGCTCAGACACACTCCCTTCAATGCCAAGGTGATGGAGCTGCTACCTCCTTTGCAGTAACCTGCTGGGTGGTCACCTATATTAGCAGACATCCCTCCACCCAGGGCAGCGGGGCGGGAGAGGGCAAGGCCTCTTGTGGGTATCTTGTGTGGCAGGAAAAAGGACAGTCGAAAGCAAATCACGCTACCATCCTGCACTCAAGGGGGTGGGCATAGCTTTCAAGGTCCTTATACATCTCAACAAGAAAGGGAGCTCCATGGGAAAAGAATCTGAAAAAGAAGAGATACATGTATGTGTATAACTGAATCACTTTACACCTGAAATTAACACAACATTGTTAATCAACTATACCCAATATAAAATAAAAATAGAAAATAAAAACCAAAAAAAAAAAAGAGAGAGAGAGAGAAAAGGAGCTCCACCTGGAATGCAACTGTTCCTGCTTGAAATTAGCTGCTCTCACAAAGCACTGATTGTAAACTAAACAAATCAATAGCTCAAGCAAGTTTTATGAAGTGAAGAATTGTTCTTTCTTCTGAAAGTGTGATTTTCCCATCTGCCCACAAGCCAGTGCACCCCTCCCACCCACTGCCACACTCGCAGGGAGATGCTTACAGACCACAGGGACCAAACGTCTCCTGCTGTCTGCCTTCCTTGGAAACCAAACGCAGCTGGTTCCTGATTTCCAGGAGCCAAGACGCCGTCTGCAAGCTCCTGCCACATCATACGAAGAACATACATTACTGTGCACACAAACCTCTCCAGCTTGTCCCACTTCAATCAACATCACATTTCCTGTGTCTGGTGATGCCGTCAGGGACACTGGCTCCAGCAAGGAGAATTAAGGCTGGTGCACAGGCCTCAGAAGCTGACTCACTCCAGGGCGACTGGCGGCCTGAGCTCCTGGGGACCCTGAAGTCCCACCAAGGGAGGAAAGGCCACGGGGAGCCTGACACACATCCCCTCACTGGCACAGACCCTTAGCAGACGGTGCCCTAAGCTTAAACAAGGATCCAGCAACATTTCTGTCTCCTGCAGCTTCGGAAAACTTGCAAAAATTCTCTTATCCAACCTTGAGTAAATAATCAGGGTTTAAAAAAAAAAAGCTGGTTTCATTCATCACGTTGTCAGTGAACGTCTTAGAGGACACCCCCAATTCCACCCACACTGGAACTCAAGTCCATATGCAGAAGGTGAGACCACCACCTGGTGTGGGTCCAAAAATGGGGGCGCGTGGATGGAAGGTAGGGGTTCCCAACAGGGCATGTCGGTCTGAAGGAGGTCAACTGGCCGCGTAAATAGCAATCTGTGGGCACTCGCAAAGCACCCATGGTTAGCAGGGGCTCTGAGAAATGGAGATTTCGAAGAACCAGGCTTTGATGGAGTTTTAAAGACAGAAAACCTTCCCTTTTAGGGTCAAGGGTTTGCAGATTCTGCTGTTCTGATGTGAAATCCACAACAACGGTAACGGTCAGTGGATCCAAGTCTGCTTTCCACAGTCAGGCCCACGTGCTCATCGCATCCTCACCCTCCAGCTCACCAAGTTCTGCTCCTCTCCTGGGTACCCCTGTATGCCCACACCCTCCTATACCAATGGATTTCTGCTTGTAAAGTGATGACAACCGTCCTGAGGTGATCAAAGGTGGCAGAACGGTCTTTCTCCACCTCAGAAGAAAACAGAAAGTAAGAAATGGCTTTATAACGCTGTCAAAGTTCCTAAGACTCAAGCAAGAAGGATCTTTAAATACTGCCGTTCCCCAGAGAGCTTTGCAAATGAGCCAACCAGAACCGTAAAAATGTACACAGACTTGAAGATAAAATGGAATTAGAATATGTTGTAAAGAGAAGCAGGCTTTGGAAAAAAGAGGTTTTTAATAAAAACAAAAAATTATGACAGTATTGCTTACCACATGAGTACCGCAGGACATGGGGTGCTACAACAATCCAGTGACTCTTGCCTTGTTAGCAAATGGGGGGGGGGGACAGACAAGCGAAGTTGATGGACAGGAAAAGGCCACCTGGCAGCTGGGGTCCAGGGGCACCCCTGGTAGCTCAGCAGTGACCTGGGCCCTAAAGCAAGGATTCTTAATCTGGGTCCTGTGGACACTCGTTAAGATACCTACCCATACCCTTGACATTTCATATACAAATTGTGTGTCTGGGCATTTTATGGAGAGAGGATTCTGCCCGGGGCTGACCCCAGGCCTCGCAAGGTCTGCAGGGTCTCAAGGTCTGAAGGGTCATGGAAGAGAGATGGGCTCTCAGGGTGGGAAGTGGCTGAATCAAAGACAGTCCCAGCACCTGCAGACGTGCCCCTGCCTTACCACCAACCTCTACTCCTTATCTGATAGGAGGCAGCGCCTCCACGGGCCAAGGACCAAAGCCAGAAGCAACACCGTGACTTGAGTTAGGTTTATGCGGGTCCAGCAGTCTTGTCAAGGGGGACACCGGTGTAGAGACACTGAACTTTCTTAGCGTCTCTTCTTTTTCACAAAATTTTAATTCTTCAATACAAATGCAAATTCCAAGCAACACTGAAATTCCAACCTCTTTTATTCAATACACATACGTGATTTCATTACAGTTGGAGTCAGTTCCAGGAAAAACAAACCCAGGAAACAGACATTTATCTTTAGAGTCCATTCAATTCCCTGCCGGAGGCCTCACTCCACCCCACGCTCCCAAATCCTCCCCACCCCCCCCTTCCCAGGCCTCACTCCTATTTCCCCTTCCTCAGACGGTGTTACGTCCGTCTCTCTTCACAATGATCTCTCCTTCTTTCTTAACTGAGACCTGGCCCTCAGACAGCTGGGGCCAGTATAAGCAGTTGGATCTATTATACTAACAATCCTCTTTAACCAAATGTCTTAAAGGGCTGAACCCTGAGACTCGAGGCATTAGAGAGAGGCCTGTGCATTACCCAGCCTTCCAAAAAGCCTTTTCACTGTTGGGTGGGGAGCAGCTCCACAAAGAGCCCTGAAAACCCAGACATGCAGGTGTGAGGGGTCTCCTCCAGCAAGGATCGGGATGGACTCCTATAGCCATCTTCTGCCAGGTAAATAAGCATCCTGGAAGAGGTAT